CATCACATCCAAACCACCGCATTGAATGCGGCTACATGCTATGTCGGTGCCACATGTTGTGCCTGGCCGAGTTGACTCTCCACCGCTGGTTGCTTGACACGTGTACCCTCATTTATTGCACCTAACATTTGTGCTGCTATAAATAGCATCCCTTCTTCCATTGTAATCGAAAAAATAACACAAGAACAACTTGTTCTGACATCTCTCTAGATACCCCCAGCGGTATCCCCCGGATACACTATCCGTCAATTATACTAACCGAAATCACGATCCAATTTTGTTTGAGATGACAAAGTTTTTATGGACGGAAGTAATATATGTTATACTTCCTCCGTCCCTTAAAACTTTGCCATCTTTCCTTTTTGGGACGTCCAAAAAAAATTTGCCACATTCCCTTTTAATGAATTATTTTGTGGTTTCTGTTATTTCTCTCTCATCTGCACAAACCTCAACCACACAGTTTTTACTTTATTATTCTCCGTGTCGGTCATGTTTGGCAAAGTTTTAAGGGACGGAGGTAGAACTTTAGTCGTGTTTTGGCTAAACGCTACAATTGTTAGCGTTTTTGTATTTTGGCTGTTAGGGTTAAAAGCTAATTGAAAATTTTTGTTAACCAAACACTGTTATTAGTTGATTGATCTGGTCAAAAAGCCAAATACAATCAAATCAGCCAAAAATGGATGATAGGCTTCTAACCAAATACCCCCATTGAGCAGGGCGGGCTGGGTCGGGGCTACACAGGTCAATACTAATACCCGGACCCGCCCCATTGTTAGGTCAGGGCGTGGTGGACCCACCCCATTTGCAAGATGGGCCGGGCCGGACCCGCCCCATATGTCTCGAGCCAGGGCGGGTCCTTGTGAGTAGTTTTTTTACATGCCTACCTGCAGTTTTGAATGATTTCTACACCTTATTGTGCTGTTTTGATCTCTTATGGTTCTTGGCGATTGTTGGTGAGTTGTGAACCCTTTGTAGACTGATTTGGGGTTATTTCACCCTCATTTATTCATAAGAGAAGTAAGGGTGCACTCCTCAAGAGGTCTAGTGATTTTTTATCCTTCACGTTGAAGAGTTTCCACACAAAAAATCGTTTGTGCTCCTTGAATTGTGCTCTATTTCTGATTGTTATTGTGGTTTATATTCTACAATATTGTTGATTATACTACCTCCGTCCCAAATTGATTTGCAAATTTAATTTTTCTTGGTCAAACAGTTTCATTTTATTTGCTTAATTAGAATGTCAATTTTTTATTATATTCTTATTTGGAGTTCACAAATCTGAAGAGATTCTAATGTAGTTTCTGAAAATGTAAATTTTAATTATTAAAATTTGAATTAATTATCGATAAGGAAGATTGACTTTTATTATTAGTTGACCAAAAAATGTTGACTTTGCAAAACAATTTGAGACGGAGGGAGTATGTGATAATTTGATTGTGTAACAACTACCCGCACGGGTAGCTCAGTTGGTCGAGTGGTGGGAGATTTGGATAAATGGACCAAGGTTCGAATCCCCGCAGCGACCGGGTGGAGGTCATATAACCTGAAATAAGATTGGGCCTCTGGTGCGCATGGGTATATGGACCTACTGTCATTCTGCTGACTGAGTCACCGTGACTAACCTCCCACCATCCTTTCGGGTCGGGTGGGGGGGCTCCAAGGGTGGGAAATTCCACCTTTTTTGGATCAATTGATTGTGTAACAACTTGGATTGATTGGATTGCTTATTTAGTTGATTGTCTTGAATGTGTGACATTGTGGGTGTCCTAGAGAGACCCCTTTAATTGATATGGGTTTTGGCCATTAGTGCCTAAAGTTAGACTCCATCGGATTATCGGAAAAGATGAATTTTATGCCATATGAATTAACTTATATGTGAATTCGGGTGCTTCACTCAAAACTTAGAGGCCATTTGGTAGCACGAAAATGGCTGATTTGGTTAATTCTGCTGAAACTTATGAAGTTCTGGCTAAAGTGACTGCATTGGCTGATTATGCTGATTTAAGAAAAAATAATTCTTAAAATATATTTTATCAATAAAATAAAGAAAAAATTATTTGTAAAATAGCTAAAATGGTCATCTACAGTAACTTCAGCCAATACAACCATAAAAGTAACTACAACCTTACTTTTTCTGCTTATTACACAATTCAGCGTGCAAAAGAAAGAATGACGTGTTTGGTGAAAAAGTTGGCTGATAAGCCTAATAAGCCCAAAATCAGTGTTGCCAAACGACCTCTTAATATTGATGATGTGTAACTTTAATGGTTCTATAATAATAATTCATACTAGAAGTGATGATAGAACTAAGTTGAACCTTTGACTATGTTTATAGAAATAGGTTAACTGTCTATAAACAAACGAGTATAACCGCATTTATATACTAAGTTCCAAATTGTTTCGCAAAATCAACATTTTTTTATCAATCAATGTTAAAGTTAAATACTCTCTATTGATAATTAAGTCAATTTTGATATGGAGTAATTGAAATTCACATATTCAGAAAATACATTAAACTCTCTATAAAGTTGCAAAACCTAAATCAAAATTCAATTAAGAAATGATATCCTAATTAAGAGGATAAAGGAGGTGATTGATAATAGATTGTTGGATGATTGAGTCAGCTGATTTAAGATATCAGTTTCTGTTGATTGTTTTGTTTATAAAATGGTATTTGGTTAAAATGGTTGTTAATAATAACTTATCAAATGACCTTTAAGGACATCAATTAATTTTTTTATTTTACAATTTTATATATACACGTAAGACACTTTTATGTATGTACGTATCATGATACACTATTGATGTTATTAGTATCACTACTTAAACGATTTTTATGAATTCAAAAATAAAAACATAATAGGACAAGTAATAATTCTTTTATACAATTTTCCATGTATTAAGAAATTTAAATGATAGCTTGATAAATAAATGGAGTTATAAGTAAAAATAAATTAGAGTTAATAACTCATATAGGACTACAAGACTCACCAAATTCTAAAATAGGAGTGGTTATGCAGTGCAAAACATGAACAAATTATCTTATTTTGGTCACATAATGAATATATGGGCATTTTTTTGTAATATTCTCCATTGTCCCCTTAAGAACTCTGAAAGCCCTCTCAATGCAACTTCTTAGAGATGAATGTGCTCTGATGGTACCATGGATTAAAACCATGGTCCAAGACCGAATTAAAATAAAGCCCATCAACGGGATCAATCCATTAACGGGATCAACCCATCCACGAGATTAATAAATAACAACAATAGCTGCTGGGCCTAACTAGGAATCCAACCCGTGAAAGGAAGCCACTACCAGGTCGGGCTGAACAGCGGACCTCGAGCCTGGGAGGAATTCTAGCGATGTCGGACTCTTCCTAGGGCTTATGTGGTAGAGTATCATTTTTTGTGTGGATAGTATGGGTCATCAGAGAGGTCTTGCTTTATTATGGGGAGATGGTATTCATGTTGAAATTCGTGATTTCTCTGCCAATTTCATTGACACACGGGTAAAAATAGAAGTGAATGATCAGCCATGGCGCTTCACAGGCTTTTATGGTTACCCGGAACGACACAGAAGGAGAGAGTCTTGGAATTTGTTGCGTGATCTTAGTTTACGAGCCCAACTTCCGTGGTTGGTTATGGGGGACTTTAATGACTTACTTCACGAGTCGGAGAAAAAAGGCAGAATTCCTCATCCTATTTGGCTGTTGAGAGGCTTTCGAGAAGCTGTTTGGGGAAGTGGACTGCATAACTTTTCTTTTGAGGTTTATTAGTTTACATGGGAAAGATGGCAAGGCTCTCCGAATTGGGTTGAAGAAAAACTTGATAGAATTTTAGTTTCCGATTGCTGGTTGGATCGTTTTGGGGTAGCAGTGGCAGAATCTCTAGAAGGGTCATCTAGTGATCATTTGGATCTATTTCTTCGTTTATTCCCGACCCGAGAGATTAATAGAAGACGACGATTCAAGTTTGAGTAGGGGTGGGCATAAAACCCGAACCGAACCGGTACCGAACCGTCCCGTAATGGTACCGAACCGAATACTGGGTATTTAAATTGTTCTATAGATTTTTATCCCGTATCGAAACCGTACCATTTGAAACGGGTACGGGACCGGTCCTAGATTTTGAGAACCGAAAAATACCGGACCGAACTGTTCGTAAATAATGCATTTGAATTTTTTTATATTCTTTCTATATCAATAGATCTAGACTAACAATTTTATACTCCAAGTATGTATTCACGTGTCCCTAAGATATCTAAAATGTTATATATATATATATATATATATATATATTGTTAGTTTTTCTTTTTAGATAATTTATGTTATATTTTGGTATGTATTGAAAGAATATTAAAATTTTAGAAATCATTAATGATTACTTATTTCTAGTAATGTAGTGTACATAACTTTTTGTTGTATCATGTTTGTGCATTTTTCACAACTTAATTCATATGATTTAAATCTTAGCTCTCAAGGTTCAACTATAAATTAAATTAGAACTACGGAGTAATATTTAACCTAGAACGAAGAAGAAGAATGTTGAAGATTTCTATTATATTCAACAATTTGATGATATTCATTTTTATATTTTCACATGAACTTAGTAAATTAAAAATGATATTTATCTCGTGCGTTATCGTTTTGCTATACTTTTTCTTAGTTGTGTTACACTATTTGTGTATTTGTGAATTTTAGTATTATGTATGCAATTTCTTGTATTTAATTCAACATTTCATGTGAGTTGGTTGGTGTGACGATATCTACTAATTGCAAGATTTGTTCAAAAAATTCAACAGTTCATTGTACCGTACCGTTTTGTACCGTTCTGAAACGACACGGTACCGAACGGTTCTATCCCTGGAACCAGACGATACCGGACCGTTAAAAACCTCACAGATACATTACGGCTTTTACCAATTTACCGGACCGTTCTGGACCGCGCCCACCCCTAAGTTTTAGAATGTCTGGCTCCGTGAAGATGATTGTCGGGATGTGGTGATAAGAGGCTAGAATATGGGGCGGGGAAGTGGAGTAGTAGGGCAGATTGCTTCCTGTGAGAGAATTGTGGAGGAATGGGGAAAGGGAAAAGCTGGAGCCTACGGGAATCGTATTTCTTTCTGCAAAAAGAGGCTGAATTTTCTGCGTAGATGTACTGACTCTTGGAGTATTGCTGAATTTGGGAGGGTGAAAAGTGATTATTTGTCGCTTCCTAAACAAGAAAATCGGCATTGGAGGCAAAGAGCTAAGGAATTATGGTTCACAGGAGGCGACCTGAACACTCATTACTTCCATAATGCTGTGACAAATTGTAGGCGAAGAAATAGGCTGGAGAAACTCAAACAGGAGAGGGGAATTTGTGATTACTTTACTAATATTTTTTTCTCCTCCGCTCAGGCACTTGATGATTTTAACTTCAGTTTCGTTGATAGGCGTCTGGAAGAGCGTCACAATGATGCATTGGCAGCATTGCTTCGTCCTATCACAAGTGAAAAAGTTCAAGCTGCGTTATTTGCGATATGTCCAGATAAATCCCCTGTCCGGATGGGATGAGCCCAGGGTTCTTTCAACATTTTTGGGATTTAGTTGGGCCGGATGTAGTGCATTTTTGCAGGTTTGTTTTTGTATACAGGCTGCATTCTAGAGAACGTTAATCATACTCATATTGTTCTTATCCCTAAGAACGAATGTCTTGAATTTTTGGGAGACTGGAGGCCCATAGCTTTGTCCAATGTTATTTATAAGATCTATGCGAAGGTACTTGCGAATCGGATGAAGAATTTACTCCACCTTTGTGTGTCAGAACATCAAAGTGCAGTTATTCCCAGGAGGTCCATAATGGACAATATTATGATATCGTTTGAATCTCAACACTATTTAAAATGGAAATGGCAAGGTAGAGTCGACTATGCGGCGTTAAAGTTAGATATGAGTAAAGCATACGATAGATTTGAATGGTCTTTTCTTGAAGGGATGTTGCAACATGTTGGATTCTCCGAGAGGTGGACTCATCTTGTTATGGAGTGTGTGTGATTAGTTTCATACTCTATCCCATTTGATGACTTGGTAATTGGTCCCATTGTTCCATCAAGAGGTTTGCGTCAAGGAGACCCTTTGTCACAGTATTTATTTATTTTGTTGATGGAGGGCTCAAGTGCTCTTCTGCGTAAACAGGAAAGCTTGGGCCGACTCCATGGGGTGGCAGTGGCAAGAGGAGCTTCGAGGATCTCCCATCTATTGTTTGTTGATGACAGTTTGCTTTTCTTTCAGGCCAATCATAGTGAGGCATCAGTGATAAGAGATACTCTTCGGGATTATGAAGTAGCATCTGGTCATACGGTGAATCTCAACAAGTATAACTTGTCCATCGCTAATATGCGGGCTGATTGAAGAGTGGGGCTGGAAGAACTGTTGGGAGTTGGGTTAGCGGATGAGCAGGAGAAGTATATCGTGGAGGGTTCCAAAGAGAGGGGGTAGAGGGTTCCATAGAACTCTTAATGACTCGAACCAGGTATGTTGGCATTTTTTTATTTGGGCTGTTTGGGACAAAAGGCCAAATTAAAAAGCTATTTTACCAAACACACGTATTAGCTGACTGATCTGGTCAAAAGGTCACTATTGGTCAAATCAGCCAAAAAATGGTTGATAGGCCATTAACCAAACACCCCCAAAATGAATATGTTTGATCCAAAAATATCAATTTGGGATAGAGGGAATACAATTTAATAATATTGTTGGGATTTAAAAATTCTTCTCTCATTATATAGCTATATTAAGAGTCAAGCTCACACATTCACAAAAGCTAAACGAACCACACACAAACTTTCTCACTAAAGTTTCTCTATTACTTTTCTTATCACCCTTTAATTTTTCTATTTGTCTCCACTTACGCAAGAAATTAAAAGCTATTTATACCCTTAAGTTATCAATAAATTCTTCTCACCCTTTAATTTTTCTCTCTGTCTCCACTTACACAAGAAATTAAAAGCTATTTATACCCTTAAGTTATGAATAAATCTAATGGTACTTTCACTCTCCAAGCGAAATGTCCAACTAGCTTGATGGTTCCCCATTTTTATGAGATGAATACTTTACCATTATTGATGGCTTCAATTGCATTATATTATAGTGTATCATTAATAATAGACCAGACATGAATACTTTACTATTATTGACGACTTCAATTTCTTTATACTGTGATGTAAATTTTCTCGCATTTAAAGTAGATATAGCAATATAGGGTATAAGTACGAGTATCGTCTCCACAGAGACAGAAAAACTGAATTATGTATTAAATAAATTCAGTGATTAAAATAAATAAAAATAAATGCGAATGTGCGATAATGGATTATTGGAATTAAATGATGTGGATAAAAAAAACTAAATTAAAGGGCTTTTTTAATGAATGACAGAAGGGAAACAAGGATTGACTCCGAGAGCAACCAAATTTTGGGGTTGATCATGCTTAAGCACATGAAAATTATATAATTGAGCAACGCAAGTCAATACTAAGTTCTTATCCGCAGCGTAGAGTATAATAATTTAGAGAATCAGACTGATCTCTCATGCAACAAGTTTCTAAATTATTTCCAAAACAAAGGAGCGTATGACTCCCTAATAGTCACTAATCTCTTAGCGAGCAATTAGGTGTGTGTGCGCGCAAGTATCCTAAAATAATTTAGATCTCGCTTAAATCATTCTATGTGCAAGCATAATCCTAGTGAGCATTCTAGGTTATAAAAGATAACAATTAAATTATTCAAACACAAAATAAACAATAATCGTGCATTTAAACCCTTAAGAACTAACCCTACATCATGATTACTACATATTTTATCAATCCCAAATTTACAAATTAATATTAGTCAAAATTTAGAATTGAAAGATCAACATAATTGAGGATGACGGAATTGATTGTCATTAATTAAAAAGAAATAACATACAAATAATCCTAGAATCTTGATAATACAATGCTAAAAAGCAATAGAAAATTTGTTTTATGCTCTCTCTCTCTAAGCTTTGTCTAGCCTAAAACTGGAATTTACTGGTTGCTTAACTGGGTCGTGCACATATGTATACAACCTTGAGAACTCAACGTCCGTAAAGTGGCTAATCGGCTTGTTTTGACATTCTTTTCCCAAGCCTGGAGGTGGCAGTGTGTATGAGTAATGATTAATTAAATGTTTTTGTTAAGAGACGAAATACAAGAAACCATTGGAGACGAAATGTAATTTTAAGAGGCTATGCGTCCAAATCAGCCTCGCATGCTTTTAATACAGATGACGTGTCCATTTTTTAGGGTTGCAATTCACATCCCATTGGAGATGCTCTTAGATACAATTTGTGCCTAACACAATTGCAATAATGTGCAAGGTCTAAGTGACAGTAGAGCAGTTAGGCTGGGAGAAATTGACATGGGTGTAGGAAATGAATCAAAAGTTGTTGCTGAGCGTGTAGGGACTTATATATTAGATTTGTCCGGTGGTTATAGATTAGAACTAGATGATTTTTCTTTTTTCCTTCTATAACAAAGAATATAATTTTTATTCCTATGTTAGACATTGAGGGCTTTTCCTTCCATTTTGCTAATAACACTTGTTGTTTTTCACAAAATGGTATTGTGTAAGGAAATGCGCCTCTTATGAATGCTTTATATGTTCTTATTCGTTGACATGGCATAATGGATAGAGTAAAAGACCAAGGTTAAGTAATAAGAAAAATATCACCTATCTTTAGCATGGCAAAGTTGGCCATTTTAATGAAGCAAGAATAGCAAGATTAAGTAAATTAAATTACTTAACACCATTTGATTTTGGATCACATGGTGATTGTGATTCCTGTCTCTCACTAAAATGATCAATAAACCTTTTTGTCGGAGAAAAACTGCGAGTCAAAGAAGTGCTTGAGTTGATTCACACAGATGTGTGTGGATCATTCCCAACTCAAATTAGAGGAGGTTTTTCTTACTTAATCACATTTACTAACGATTTCTCTAGGTTAGGGTTGTGTATCTTGTGAAACACTAATCAGAAACTTTTGATAAATTTGTGGAGTATAAAGCTGAGGTAGAGAAACAATTTGACAAAGAGTATAAAATACTACGATCTGATTGTGGAGGTAAATACTTGAGCAAAAAGTTTCTGGATTACCTAAAAGGTCAAGGAATTCGGTCATAGTGGACTCATCCAATAACGCTTCAATTAAACTCAATTGAATGTTGTCTTTGAAAGGAGAAATAGAACTTTGTTGGGCATAAATCGATCCATGATGAATTCCACATAAGTATTTCTTTGGGGGTACACGTTTGAAATTTCGATATACATTCTAAATAGAGTTCCATCTAAATTAATGCAAAAGGCATTATATAGGTTATTGTATAATAAGAAGCATATTCTTGCACATATTAAAGTGTGAGATTCCCTTACATATGTGAAGAAAATGGACACCGATTAGTTAGCACCTAGAATTGAGAAACGTTATTTTGTGGGGCATCCTAAGTAAACTAAAGGATACTATTTTTATCTTCCCAAGGAACATAAAGTCATTATTTCCCGACAAGCAAGATTCTTAGAAGAAGACTTGGTCTTCAAGGAACGTAATCGTGAGAAGATAGTACTTGAAGAAATTCAGGAACCGCAAAATAACATAGAGGAAGACTTGTTAGATGGTCAAAATAAACAAGGATTCATTGGGAGAATTTAGTGGAAGTATGACTCTAGGAGGATGTCCTAGAGACATACTCAATTCTCGTTTCTTAGTTTATGCCTCTAACCACCTCAAAGACCTAAAAATTAAACTATAATCTTCGTACTAGTCGGTTCATCATGTCGGTAAGTTGTTTACATTTTTGAATTGATAATTTGATGTTTAATTACAAACTTACCATTTAAATTAAACACACACACACACATATTACTAATAGCTTTGTTTTAAATTTTGGAGGGCCCTATGTTGGGAATTTTTATGGTGTCGAATCTAATTAAATATCTTTGTATTTGTGTCGTTATTAATTGAACGTGTAATATAGGTCACAAATGTATTTCAGCCCATTAACTCTCTTGTAAGGCTTAAGTTAGACATCCTTATGTATAAAATGATGCTAACTTAAGCAAACCCTAAGTACTGATAAGCCTCACAAGCCTTGAACACACACATCATTGTAGTGAGAGAGAGAGCTGTTGCTTTGTATTTCGATACCCTGTTCATTATTTTTACATCATTCTTGGTATTGAATCAAAGCTATTTCTTCTGTACTTTATATTGTTTGTATGATTGTTGGATGAAATAGGGACAAACATTTGGTATCAGAGCCGAGCGTGAAATCGATTGAAGAATTTTCGCAATTTTTCTTCTGCCATTGACGGTGAAGAAATAGTTCTCGAAAAATTGATTTTCTGCTATTTTGTGGTTTGATCAACCTGGTTTGGCCGTTAATCTGCGTTTGTTGGAAGTTTTGGATCAAGTTTTGAGTTAAAGAAGATTGAAATTGCATATCTGGGATTTTTGAGATTTCGATGTTTTAAGGTTTTACACAGGTTCTACGAAGAAGACAGATATCTCGAAGTTCAGGTTTTCGTAGTTTAGCAAATCTCGATAAGCAATCTCGATAAGAAAATCTCGAAGTTTAGGTTCTCGAAGTTTAGCAGTTCTGGAATTAATATCGTGCACTTCAGGAATCTCGCACTTCAAGTTCTCGAAAAAGGAATATCGCAGTTAAGGTTTATCGAAAAAGGGTGGGTTCGAGATCTCGATAGGAAATATCGGGTTTAGCAATCTCGATAAGCAATCTCGAGATTGTCCAAATGCAAAAAAAGAAACGGGGGCAAAATTGTCTTTTGAGACCCGCTGAATTTTGCAGCATTCGTGTCCGTAAGTCGTCCGCGCAAAGGGGTGCGATTTTTAAATTTTGAACTGAAAGCCGAAATCCCATGTGCGCGAGAGCTCCCCTCTTCTCCTTTACCTTTTACTACTAAGAAAGGAGTGGTTCATATATATAGGCTCAAAAGTTCCAAAGGAATTTAAGTGTGGCATTGTTAAAAAGATTCCTTTTCTCCTTCTCTTGGATAAGTACATTTTTTATAAAACTCCCACTTCAAGAGCTAGTTTTGAGCCCATTTCAATTTTTGATCTCAAATCTTCAACACCAAAGGTCAACCATACATTCAAAGCTTCCAAGAGTCAAGCTTGAAATTAAAAAAAAATAATTAAAAAAATAATTAAAAAAAACTCAAGGTTAAGACTATTTTTCTCAAGGTCCAAGCTACATTTCAAGGTTCAGAAAATTACAGAAACTTCAATCAACCTCACGTCTACGGTCAACAATCAACAACCAACAGAAATAGACGTCTCATCTCCTTGCACCTGTACTTGTAAAATTCATAACAAGGATGACATTATTAAAGAATTAAGGAAGAGATTAGACAATAACTACAAGGCTTAGTTAAGTGTCAAGACTAGAAAACCTCATTTAGCATTCAATTGGAAAATAAAAAGGAGAATGTTAAAAGGATGACACTTGAAAGAGAAGAGCTAACACTCAAGATAGCTGATCTGACTTTTAGATTGCAAGAAACGGAGGCAGAACGAAACATAGAAAAGGCTAATAAAGATTTTCTCAATAATCAAAGAAGTGCCATCTATCGTAAAATCAAAGAATTAGAGGATCTTATTGCAAAAAGAGGTCAAACTGAATTAACCATTTTCCTAAATCAACAAAAAGACATTCGTTTCTACAATTTCAAAGCGGGACTTGGTCTAAAGAATCCATGTAATCTGAAGAAAGTGGATTGTATTCAACTTTATGACTTGGACTACATGAATCTTGGATTGTTTGAAAAGATGGTCTATTTTAGTGAAGATGAGACAATTGCGGAAGAATACAAGAAAAGGTCTAATCCTGCGGCTGAAGTTTCTTGTGATTATGATACTCTAAATGCCAGCTATGAGACAAAAGAATAAGAATTTTCAACTGTTGAGATTGTGAGTTATGAGGACAAGTTAAGAAGAAGAAATAAGGAAGAAGAATCGTCTGAGGGATAGGAACGGGTGTTCAAGTGCTCTATTTTATACCAAGAAGAAGACATCAACTAAGAATGATCATTTACGCTCATCTTCTCTAAATTGGATTAAACCAATGAAAGTCTGCTGCTCAGAGTCTGATGTCTCCTCCACCCAAGATCAGAATGTGAATGATCAGAGAGTCCCAAAGAAATCCGCTTCCGCAAAAGTGAACGTTGAGGGAGAGTATACACTACCATGTTTGAAATATCCCCTCAAGGTTCACTCACTCAAACACTTGAGAAGACTCTCTCAAGAACCAATTTTCAAATATTATCTATCTAATCATTCACTCACGAATAGTAAAACCTCTTCTACACCTAAGCTCAAACAACAACGGATCCCAAAGGCTGAAGCTGAAAAGTTAAGACCGTCAAACTCTTCTCAAGCAGCTAGCCTAAGATCCCAAATCAAACAGAAAGTGCAACAGTTCTTCAATGCTGCAAAGGAAGGACCCATCTGGAAATGGGAATCAAAGAAGACCTAATCTGTTCTGTTGCGTCCGTCATGTGTGGTAACTGATTCGATTGCTCCACACACATGGCGGGTATGAAGACAAGTTGAGAGAGTTTTCAAAGTTCTCCTCCAAGCGCCAATCATCGTCAAAGGCATCCTACTGAGTGCTCCAGTTGATGGGGAGTACAGAGAGAAAACAAAAGTGCAAAGAGAAATGAGAGATACGTCCCAATGGCTTAGTAAACCCAACTTAGCCTACCCAAGAGACAAAGCCGAGAGTGAGTGAGTAACTGAGTGAACACTATGAGAGTGAGGAAGCAGAAAGCTCTAGTGAGCAAGAGAAAAATAATCACTGTCAAATCTGCTACCTCTATTGTGTTATCAATCGAGAAAATTACTCCCAGTCACTCAAATACTCTGGACAATCCCCATAGGTTCAGGACTGAATTTATTCAGATCCCGGGTAGAAGTCTTTACATTTTGTCCAAACGGCGCATGCACAACCCTACCCAAGACCACTCATTTGTCTCCCAACAGACATGTGTTTAATCATATTTCACGGGGAACCTCATCTCTTATCACTGTCTCCTTCTGAGGCGACTGATAATGACTACAGTGGACCACATCCCCACGCCACTGAACATTCATTGATCACGTCGTGTCTAGTTATCTCACTCCCAAATGTTTTGAATTTTCTAGGACACATAAACCTTTTAGATTCAGTTACAGGTCTTCATGACCCGTGAGAACTTCTATAGGGATCATCTACTATAGATGAAGACCAATGATTGGAAGGAAGTCCTGCTGTTGCAACATAGAAATCACCAACATGTTCCGTCCATCGCTTCCGAGTTCATCTCTATAGTGATGATAACGAGCGTCTACACGACCCCGGGGGGCTATGTTGTCTTTGTTGATCTTTATGATCATGCCATAACAACCAGAGTGACATCTACTTTAGATGCCTCCTAATGACTGGTTGGAAGTCCTGTTAGAGCTTTAATGCTTCTATCATTTTTACAGGCACACATCAATGTTTACATTGATGTTGTGTTAAAACATCTCAGTGTATCTGGTCTTTATCATTTAACCTTTCTTTTTTTTTCTATTTTGTTATCCAGAATAAAAGAATAAAGGCATGACGCCCCGATTCATTGGATCGTCATGAGGGGGAGAGTGGTATGCATGCTGTTTACCCTCAAAAATCATTTTTGGACACTTCCTTCCTCCACCACAAAATTCAACGATAGCTCTCTACTCTCTCAAAGCATCAAGATTACCAAGCAAGCTTCACATCAAATAGTCAGCTATGCTCACAAGTCAACCATCATTTTTCGTTGTGCCATCGACAAGTTCTCCTAAAAAAACATTCACCTCAAATAGTCAAAAAGACTACATTGTAGAGGAGACAGAGGTCGGATAATCTAATCACATGTGCGTCTTCAATTCTTCAAGAACATTCATTCTAGAGGCGCCTTCGGATTTGCAGTCAAGCTGATCATGAATAACTTCTGGAAGGCAAGGATTACAAGCAAGATTTTCAAGATTCCTCAACCCCCGGCATCAAAGATCACAATGCCAAGAAGACATCAAAGGGAAGATTGCAATGATTTCTTCAGAAAGCCTTCTTAAGAAGTCGAGTTCAACACGAAGACAACGGAAGCTGAGCTGCACTGAAGATCAAGACAAAAGAGGAGCAACTCAACAGATTTTATGTACGCTCTCCTCTACATTGCTGAATAAACACAAAGACAAAGATATCCATGCTGCAATGCTGATTGAACACGATTGAACACCAAGGGGAGATTGTTGGTAATATTTTATGGTGTCCAATCTAATTAAATATATTTGTATTTGTGTAGTTATTAGATAAATGTGTGATATGGGCCACAAATGTCTTTCAATCCATTAACTCTCTTGTAAGGTTTAAGTTATGCATCCTTATGTATAAAAGGATGCTAACTTAAGCAAACTCTAAGTACTGATAAGCCTCACAAGCCTTGAACGCACATATCGTTGTAGTGAGAGAGAGAGCTGCTGCTTTGTATTTCGATACCCTGTTCATTATTTTTCCATCATTCTTGATATTGAATCAAAGCTATTTCTTATGTACTCTATATTGTTTGTATGATTGATGGATGAAATAGGGACAAACACCCTACATTTTGGGGGGCCTAGACATTTGTCTAGGTAGAATGCCCCCATGATCGGCCCTGAAAATAATGAGTACTGCTGATGATAAAAAAAGAGTACTTCTTATGATAATTTGAGTGTAAGACACTTCAAATTTGGCCAATTAGTCAATACGGAGGTTTGAGATTCGGTTGGCAGTAAACCCTAGGAGGCATCCCGCTTTTCTCTATTACTCGTACTTAAGTCGGTTGGCCGAGGGATGATTGGCGGACGACATTAACATCTTACTTGGAGAATAAAGCAAGACTTTTTATTATGCTTCCATTTTTATTTGATTTCTATCTTGGAGAGTTATGGTTTGGTCTGACTTCTTCTTTAATTGAGATTTTTGTCCACTTAAGTGAGCGTGAGATATGCTCTTATCGTCCTAGCGATGTATAGAAGTTGTGTATTTCTCGTCGGTGTAATCGATAGGGTGATAATTTTCGTTGTGCATGGGCGACAATGCTTGTAAAACCTAGTTTTTCTTAGGCCTTAGTTCTTCACCCTCCTCCTTAACCACCGGTCCACCACCTTATA